CACCTCGAGGTGGCTCGCACCAGGCTCGCCTCCCGCGATCATTTTCGTATCTCCGACAGCCTCCATTTCTGCTCCAGATGATCTTGTACTTTCGGTGAAGTCTCACGACAACATGAATCTGTCCCGATTCAAGATAACGATGACGGATCGCCTTAGTCCTTTGCATGAGGATCGAGGCAAAGCTTCAGTTAAAAAGCGTTTGGGTTTGGTAAACAAATCCCGAGTGACTCTTCAGGCTGGGGGGTCGTACGTGTTCTCCTAACAAGTTGAAGCTATCCCATACCGGGAAAACACACGTAACCGCCTGCTTAGGGTTACGTGTCCAGGTTCAGGAGCCCGTTGAGATTCCACACTCGCAATGGGGTGAATCTAAATATATGACTCCTAAGAACGCCAATAAGGCGATACATACCCGGAAGGAGACGTGTTTGTTACATGACAACATCATACCTGGGGAATCAAGTCAACAGCTGATAGGTTGCTCTGGCCACAACGCCGATGAGTTGTATTATCAGATTGGGGGTACGAAGAAATCTCGAAAGAGAAGTATCCTAGAATCGGACTCTCACTGTCCTTGTGAGAGGTTTATCAGGTCAGTATTATCAGAGTGTGGCTGCCCTAAGACCGCTCCATAGAGGGTCTCGGTATATAAAAGAATCTTCACCGAAGTGTCCAAATCTAAATCAAGACGCTTCTACAAGAAGAAATATGTCGGTCATGATGATGAGCTTCCAGAAGTTATCATCAATGTGGTTGATAAAGGAAAATCGACAAGTCGTTACAGCCCTGACTCTTTCTTGGAGGCATCTCAGCGCATCACTTGGTTACAGTCAGGATCTAGACAACAACATCGGATAGAGGACACTCCTCGGAGGATGAAACATCAGACGCCAACTCCGTGATCACTTTCGATAATACAATGTCCAGCACAGGACAATCTCGTGAGGCGTTCATGATCAATGCTGAACAAATGGTCAAAATCAATGCTAAAAAAAGGCCAAAGAGTGGTCTTCAGTTTATTTATTTATTTTATAGGCGGAGAAAAGAAGGAGATGGAATTTGGGTTTTGAGTGAGGGGGGAGAAAGAAAAAGGTGGAGGCCAGTAAAACGATTGAGATCTTCTAAATCTTCATTGGATTTTGTAAGCATGAATGAGAAGATCTTTCAAACCTCCATTGGTGGAGGTTTGCTCTTTGTATTTCCAAAACAGGCCACTGATTTCTTAGTCTGATAGTCAGCAGATTTTGGACTCGTCCGTGTTTGACTTTGACATTTCTTTTTTTTTTTATTTTTAAAGGGAGGATATGTTGTGACATTTCAAAAACCATATGTTTTCTCTTAGGGGGTGTTAGTCAATAGGGATATTTTCATGCAAAATGGGATAATTGTTAAAGT